ATAGCGTTTTCTTGATATCTGCCATATACTTTAGTTTTTATTGCGGAAACTTCGCTTCTAATAGAAATGACTTCCATAGTTAGACGATCAATTTTCGTGGAGCAATCCGTCAGAATGCTTTTAATTTCTGAAAGTCGAATAAAATTTGATGTCTTACAAAAATATGTATCAGTATACATATGTATCTTCTAAAAATTAATACTTGCCTTGCAGTAGCGTTTCGCTGCTGAAAACCCTCGGATCGTCAAATAAAATTTCAAATTGGTCTGACATTTCTTAAAAGGTGCCTTTAAAAGTGGACTAAAGGAAAAAAAATATGAATACCCCCCTCTATTAAATGAAATATTTTTCCGGAAATAATTTCAATTCGGTGCTGGCTAATTTCAGGTTCTAATGACAAGGATTTTGAGCTAAATATGCCCACCATGGTTGAATTTATGGGGTATGTGAAAAACGGCTGGAGATCACGAATTAATCTGCTATGCAAAATAAAACTAGAGCCGTAACTTTCGATTCGCACTAATTTGTATATCTTGTACTGACATTCCTTAACATATTAAAGGATTAAAGAAAAAGTTATTGTGATATATTTTTTGACCGGGCACATTGTTATTAAATTTGTCTACTTTATGAAAAACATTCAATAAGCTTTTCTCAACAATTCTATTGTATAGCTGTTCTATTACGAAGTCGCTTTTTTTAACCATAACTTTCAACTGCCCTAGAAAGTTTTCAAAAGGAAAGGCGCTAATAGTTTCTAAAGAATTAAATTTCAACGCCTGTCTACTTAAATGGGTTAAGCAATGGAAATTAAAAGATAACATTGTAAATGAATAGAGTGTAGGTATTTCTTCAACAAATTTATTTAGCAAAGCATCGGCAAGCCCATTTTTGGTTTTGCAATATTCCTCATGAAGGAGAAGTCTTATTCCCAAGCTGAGAACCAAGAAATGATTATATCTTGCAGTATCTAAAAAGCCTTTCATAACTACTGGTCCAGTGTATAGTAAAAATGTACGAAGCTCTGTAGCTTTGAATCTTTCTAAATCATCAAGTGGTCTTGGTTTTCGGCTGATTTCTTTTGGAAAAAATATTTTTAATGAACAAAATTGTGCACTTATAAGGCTTATAGAGTCACGCCTTAAAGAAAAAGGTTGCCTTCTTACTCTTGTCCAAGCCACTAATATAGTTTTCACAACCCCTAAGCAAACAACGTGCATGTAATCGAAAGGAAATTGTTCTACCATATCGATTTGAAGTTTTTCTAAAGCAGGTTCCTCGGTTATATTGTGGTGATCTGGGTACAAGCGGTTTCTAAAACTTTCATTACATGTAGACACATTATGCTCTTTTTTGAAGATAATTCGTCGTTCAAATCTTTCTCCCTTCTGAACACATTTATTGCAGCAATAATATCCAGAATGATGTTTAACTCCTAAAATAAATGCCCATGCTGGTGCATCATTTATAAATGCTCTTATTCCGATATTAAAGTGTTTATTCCTACAAATCATTCCATCTCTAACTAATGTTTGTAGCTCGTCAACGAATTCTTTTAAATAAATGTTTGGGTCTTTAGGTTTGGAATTGCCTACATAAATACCTACAACTATCACGGGTTTTGTACCATTCACGTTTATTAATATTGGCCAAGCTTGTTTAAGCGACTTTTTGAACAAAGGCAACCCATCAACGTTTACATTAAGAAAAATATTTGGAGAATGGAAATCAGAGTTAATTAAAAAATCTGTAAGAGCATCCCTAACGCCATAGTGAACGTATTCCCCTGGGTCTACTTTTCGTTTCACTATACTGCGTGGTGTACTTTTCAAAGTACGAACGTCCTTGTTCCTGTTTACTAATGTTATTAGCAGACACCCATTTTGCTAATCTTATTGTGAAAGGCTCCCCTTCAACTTGACTGCTTGTTGTGGTTGAAATATCGATGCCACCAATTGCAGTACATGGAGGCACTAAGTCGGTGCAGTTTGGTTGGATGTCGATCGGGATTAAGCATCCGCTGTCGCCAATAACCGCAATGTCTAGGCTGTTCTCCAAGCCTTCTGGTACTTCAGGCAAAGCTTTCCTTTTGGTAGCTATTGCGGCTGCTACATGGGTAGCCTCGCGTATAAAATTGCGGCACTTTCTGTTTGGCATTATACACACGCGTAAACTACAATCAAATGCAAATTTTATGAAACAAACTTTATTTTGGTTATTTAAACACCTTAAATGCTAGAAATAATAATATTTCACTTTATTTTATGTTCACTGCTCGAGCAACGCTTGTCAAAACCAAAATGTGCTGCCACTCCGAAAATTTATCGAGTTAGCGAACAATTTGCTTAAGAGTTTCTTTCGCAAATTATTCGCTAAAGCGAACCTTCGTTGTTGTGTCGAGTTAGCGAACAATTTGCGGAAGAGTTTCTTTCGCAAATTATTCGCTAAAGCGAACCTTTGTTCTTGTGCCGAGTTAGCGAACAGTTAGCGGAAGACTTTCTTTCGCAAATTATTCGCTAAAGCGAACCTTCGTTCTTGTGTCGGCTGGGTAGCTTGTTTTGACGAATTCGTGAAGCTGACGCCGCTGGGATACTATCGATAGTACCGCCACGCGATAGTTTTCGAAACGATAGTTGAAAACATCGATACTATCGATAGTACTATCATCGTGAGAGGTATTGAATTGAAATGCTTAATTGCTTGAAAATTAAATAATTAATAAATTTATAAAATTTATAAATTACTTTGTAAATTAAAGAGATTACATAAATTTGTTTAAATTTTAGTGCATCAAAAAGAACTTCTTATAATAATAAAATAATCTTATTAATTTATGCGTCTGAATTATATATACATATGTTTGTCCCTGTTGAAGTGCAAAGAAGTGAAATTGGCTAAATTAATACATTTATAATACTACAAAACAAACAAAACAAAATATATTCGTTTAAGTTGACAATTCATACTCATAAAAGTTCAACTGAGGTCAAATACGGAGGCGCATATCAAAATCCGGACAAAGGAAATTATTAACATTTTACCATATTATGAGAAAACGAATCAAGTACTGGTAAAAATAATAGCACCACAACATTTCTAGCTGTTTTGACTATTTTTTGTTTGTTTAGTGTCTACTAATTTTTTGTGAAAGTTGTACAAAACATAAAAAACTACAAAATCAATAAAATTTCAAGCTTTTTAATTCGAATTTCTATAAAAATTTTGTGTAAGCGCTTTTTTAGCTTATTAAATTTTACTATAACTCAGTGTAAGCTTATAGTGGCTAAAAATTCCAATAACTAAAAAATTTCTTGCCGCCTGTATTCTGAATTTTCTTGGACAAAAAAAAATAATGTAATTTTAATAGATGTAAAGAGAGAAATTTCGCTAAAATCGACATCGATAGTTTTCAAAAACTATCGATAGTGGCGACAGTTTTCTACTATCGATAGTATCCCAGCTCTAGTGCACAACTATTCGAATAATACACACATAAAATGTTTCGGGAGGAATGGGAAATACATTTTTTTGTTTAAAAAGACATTACAAACTGTGTCATAGTCTTTTTGAAAAGGTGAAAGAGTGTGATCGAGCACTGAACACAAAATTTACCGGTTACAAGAGTACGCAGAATGCGAAAAGGGTTTAAAAATTGACAGGAACTTTATTTACCGGTTACAACTTTTTATTACCAGCGCAGAATAGACCTGTAAGAAAACTTTACGTCCGAACACTCTCAACAGCAACTGATTTGATTTGCTTTGCCGAAATACCAGCCAAGCATCAGTCAATCGTCAATTATCGTAAGACGCACGAAGACGATGATAGTATACAAGAATGATAGAATACAAGATTGCGCCGATCAGAGAGGATTTTTGAGAATAACTTTTGTGTGACGTCACACTGGTGCAATTGCGAGAGAGAAATGCCAAAACGTGAGCAAGAATGGAAGAAGAAGAAAAAATGTTGCAAGGAAAACGTAAACAAGTTGCACCAGTGTGACGTCATGCAAACAACGATTCTGTCAAATTCGTTAAGAGAGGAATAGCGGTCCGAGATCGGCGCAACCTTTGTATTCTCTCAATCGTGGATAGTATACGTGTGTCGACGTCGCAGCAAGCAGCATTTTGAATCCCAATTACATGTGTTTGGAAAATCAAAAAGTGCCCGCCTCTGGTCTAACGCTATACGACCGATGATAAAAACATTACAAGGTAAATTCATTCTCTCATTTCGTCGGCCATGATTTTTTTCTGACGTTTGCCAACATTTTAAAATCATATAAAATTGAAAATAAAAAAATTAAATTGTTCACAATTGTTGTTGTTTGAGATTGAAAATGAGAATGTGTGTGAGTTTGAGTTTTGATTTTAAAATTATATTGTTGGCAAACGTCAGACTGCCTCTCAATGGTTTTACCTTGTTATGTTTTTATCATGATACGACCCGTGTGCAGACTGCCTAAGTAAATACAAGCAATGAGGGGTGGAATACAGAAAATTCCTTAAATTACCACAAGCTATGATTTTGTTAGATATTTTCTGCACATACATAAATGGGCCGCTATTTTGGGTGGAAAATTTTAAATGAAGTCATGGGTTCTGAGTTGATGACAGAAAATATGAAGAGAGTGAGCATACATATACCAGAGAGTATTAAAACTCTGGAGAAGCAAATTCATACGTGTCAATATGAGATCTAAAAAAGTGATGGGCATCGTCTTGCAAAGCTCTTCTAAGCTCTCTATACATTTTGTAAAAGTAAAAGCTCTCTCTGCTGTTCTAAAGCGATTTGATCAAAATATTTACGTAGTTCATTTGTATGTGGCATCATCTATAATTTAAATTTATTTAATTCCGTTCCGCTATAATCAACCACGAGAACTAACAGCAAGTGCACAATACACTTCTGAAAATATAGCATTATACACACTGATGCTTTTGCGTAAATGTAGGTGACGTCATACCTACCATTTTACTACCTGCAGCCGAAACATCCCAGTCGGACCTGGTTGCTTCCAAAATGTACTTATAGCGCGGTTATTTTTCCACTCAGAAGTAGTTTCAAAAACATGATGTCTTTAATTCGCCTTTATACAGGCGTGAAGCACAGCAAGAACGGTTCTTTAAGAAGGCAATTTTGCATGAGGTGTTTGTTGTTGGTTTGGAGAGCTTTGTGGAGTTTTCTTTCTCTTTCGGACTTATTTGCCGAAGCCAAAGCATTACAAAATGCTTATTTTAGCAGTCAAGTTTTCATGACCTACGGGTTTTTAGGCTTTTATTATGTCGAGAAAGGATGCGATTACTTTTCCACGCAAATTTAATGTACTTCAAATTTCTCCTGAAGAAAATAGTACCTAAAAAATTATAGTTTAAAAAACTAAAAACTCGCTTTTATAATTTCCATTCGTACTGTCATCAGGTTACTTTAAGAATGGTAATAAAAGCGAGGCAATAAAAAGGCATTCTTTTCGGAACCACATTCTGTACGGTCCGCCTGGGATTTTGAATGAAGTGCTCATATGTATACCCAATTTGCCACAGGGCGAAGACGACGTCGTTACGACGTCGCCCTGGTGAAGTCGTTTGGGTGAACTCGAAACGACGTCGTTACGATGTCGCTCTGGTGAAGTCGTTTTGGTGAACTCGAAACGTTTGGTGAACTCGAAACGACGTCGTTACGACGTCGCTCTGGTGAAATCGGTTGGGTGAACTCGAAACGGATCCGTTTCTTCGAACCTATAAGTTTTTTGAGGAACCTTCGGTCTAGGTTGGACAAGTTCCACGCCCACATTTTTATATATCTAAGCATAAATAAAAGTCATTCATTTGGATAGTAAACCGTTTTTATTATGACAATTTTTTATCATGACAGAATATGGAATCCACAATGTACACTTGTGCTCAGAAAATTAAGCCACCTACATCTTTTTTTCAGTATTTATAATATTTTTCATTAAAATGTTTTGTTTTATAAAGGTAAAGTTCACTCATTGGCCTTATTATCCTATGTGTTTCTTAAATGCAGATTAAAAAGCT